TGAATTGACCCTTTCATTATTATAGAATTTTTCTTGGTGATATTTCTTTTTCAAAAATCTTTGATATTTTAGTACCTTCAACTATTTTATGAGTAGTGTTTATATGTAAATCTTTTCGTCCTTTTACTTTTATTGTACCTGTCTTTATAATTAAAAGCATTTCTTATGTTTATCATTTTATTCATTCTTACTTTTTTATTTAAGCAGTCTTTGCCTTTTCATTAGAATATTTGAGCCATTTATGTCAATGTAATTAGTGATACTGTTGGGTTTACATCCATGACCCTGTTATATTTGTTTTCTCTGTCTCCCACTCCCACTTAAAATATATATATTTTTTTATTTCACCTATCTGTTAATTTTGTTAACTTTCCCCTCCACTTTTTCTGCCTTTTATTGATTTAATTTTTTTTGTGACCTATTTATCTCTACTGTTTTTTAGTGATTGCAGTAGGATTTGCACTATGCATCATCACCTCTTCACTGCATGCCTTCAAATAATATGCTACCTCTACCTCAGTGTGGCAAAGATGGTCTTTTAATAAATGTTAATGGGACTCACTGGGAAGCTTTTTAGAAAAAGTTAAAATTACATTCTTTTGTTACACTGTTGACAAGGAAAAACTCCAAATGAATCAGATATCTAAATGTAAGGAATGAAGAATAGAAGGAAAAAGTTGGTGAATTTTTCTTTAACCTTGTTATAGGTAAAAACTTTAAAATATGACTAAAAATCTGCATGCAATAAAAGAAAAAGCTAGATGAATTTGATCACACAAAACTACGAAATAATCTTTTGCATGGTAAAATAATACCATCAAGAAAGCCAAAAGGAGTTTGGCAAACTGGGAGAAAATATTTACAACATATGTAATGGATAAAGGTCTAATATTTCTAATACAAAAAGAACTTTTAAAAACCAAGGGGAAAATACCCAAAATCGAATAGATCAGGGTCAGCAAACTAGGCTCATGGACTGGCCGCCTGCTTTTGTGAATAAAGTTTTAATGGAACACAGCCATGCCACCTGTCACATATCTTCTGTGACTGCTTTCATGCCACAGCGGCAGAGTTGAGTAATTGTGACAGAAATTGTGTGATCCACAGGACGAAAATATATACCATTTAGCCCTTTAAGAAAAAGTTTGCCGATTCCTGGTATAGGGAAAAAAGGCAAAAAAACATGAAATGACAGTTCACAAAAAGACATATAAAGGTAGCTCTTAAATAAAATGTTCAACCTTTTTCACAGTTAGAGAAATATACATTATTGGTGGGAATGCAAAATAGCTCATTCTTTTTGGGGGGAACTGATGTTGGTGGGAGCCTGGGTTCTCACTGTGGATGTGAATGGGGGTGGCAAGAGAGGACCCTGGGGCAGACTGGGGTTGGAAGTATTGGTGTGGACCCTGCTTTCTGAGATGTGAATATGTGTCTGCTTATGCTTGTCTGTGTGCACATGTGTATTGCATAGGTAGGAGTGTATGTACATGTGTGAGTGCATGTGTGTGTATACTTTTTAGCTCTGTCTGCTAAACGAAGCATAGACATTGCAGTGGCCATGAGCACACACAGTGCCTGCACCTTCGTCTTCAATACCTTTCTCCCCTCAGAAAACCAGGGTTCCTTGGAGAAATGGTAGATTCTTGGGCAGGGGCAGCATAGCGCAAAATGACTATGAAACATTTTCTTATGCCAGAATGTCAGGCAGTGCTTTAAAAAAAAAGGAGGAGATGGGGGCCATGTCACCTGTCAACTTGCAGGAGCACCCACTGCCTAAATCTGGGACAATTTGTGCATCAAAATAGTAAAGAATCATAATGACTTCTAAACAGTTATCATGACAGCAGTCTATGATTCCTTTCAGATGGATAGCTAGGTAAGAATGCCAAGTGCTGACTGGAAAATGTAAATAGAGTGCTGGAGTTGGACAATTATTTTGGGACAATCTCAGTACAAATTGTTCTGGCAAGAATGATCAATGGCTGTAAAATTCAGAGAGAAAGTTTGATGAGGATCAGCATATTCACATGGTCTTGAAGTGTCTCCTTACACACTGCTTATTAGTTACGCAGAAAAAAACAGTAACAATACAGTGGAGAAATCAGACAACACTTTGGGGATGAAATCAGCTTTGCACCAAGGTAGGTGGAGATCATGTGTTTCTGGACACGATACTCTGGTAGTGTTCCAGCCGGGAATGCAGCTCCGGAATCAAATTGTGAGAAGACCTCAAGCAAACTCACAATGAGGTGCATTCTACTTAATAAAAATCAAGGTCATAAAGGACAAAGAATGGCTGTGGGAGTGTTCCACATTAAAGTGGGGACTAAAGAGGTGTCAGTACTTGCAGTACTTGATTCTAGACTGACATCTTTATTGGAGGGAAAAAAACGCTGTGAGAGGACATTATGGTGTCACTTGTCCCCCTTGCAGCGGGTGGTGGCTCCATGAACCTTCCCTGCTTGTAGGTGGGTGTGTGCTCAGGGGCCGGGCTCCTCTACGGCAGTGCTCCCAACAGGATTTTTGCTTGTGTCACCCAACAAATGGTGAACTGTTTGAGGGCAGACTCTTATCTGTCTTTTTTGCTGACTTTCCATTTCCCAGAACAATGTTTCTTAATAATTACTGAGGACAAAGAGCTTTTAGTTTGTGCAGGTCCTCTTGATATTAACCAATTAGAAATTAAAACTAAATTTTAAAAAATATTTATTAATACATTTAAAAATAACAATAAGACCAGGCACAGTGGTTCACGCTTGTAATCCCAGCACTCTGGGAAGCTGATAGGTGGGAGGACCACTTGAGGTCAGGAGTTTGAGACCAGCCTGAGCAACACCAAGACCCCATCTCTACAAAAAATACAAAAATTATCAGGGCATGGTGGCCTGGCCTGTGGTCCCAGCTGCTCGGGAGGCTGAGGAAGGAGGATCACTTGAGCCCAGGAGTTTGAGGTTGCTGTGAGCTGTGATGGTGCCACTGCACTCTAGTCTGGGTGACAGAGCGAGACTCTGTCTCTAATAAATAAATAATAAAAATAACAATAAACTCATTATATGTTAACATAAATAGCGTATACTTATGAAAAAATTTCCTGAACAGCAAACGTTTAGTGAGATGAATTGGCTTGTTTTATATTTTTGCCAGTCTCTCTTCTGGCAGGCGTGGCACAAGCGTCTGAAAAAAGGCAAATGACTTCTCAACATTATCACGGAATAGTTTTGACCCCTGAGCCCCCATGGAAGGGCCTTGGGCACTCCTGGGGTCCCCAGACCACTTTAAAAACTGCTAGCTTAGAACAAGTCCTCCTTCCTGGAAGTCATTCAATAAATGCTGTTAAATGAATTAATTCCAGAATGACTCTCCGACGGAGCTGGTGCCTGGCTGGATCTGTGCATTCTGCTGCACTCATGCGGTTTGTCCTCGCGCCTTGTGCCTGTGTCCACTTCTCCAGAGGGTGTGACGCGTCCTGGCCTCAGTGTGCCTCTGTCCTTCCTGTAACAGGTGTCCCCGTGAACAGCAGAGTGTCCTCCAAGATCCAGCAGCTTCTCAACACCCTAAAGAGGCCAAAGCGCCCTCCTCTGAAGGAGTTCTTTGTGGATGATTTTGAGGAACTCTTGGAAGGTGAGGGTTGTCTGCCTTTGAGCTTCTGTGTCTGCGTGAGTAGGGTGGCCGTGAAGTCTGGAAACACACAGGCAAATGTGTGTCGTACGTGGGTTATTGCTGTCATATTATCTGTCACACGGTGAAGCAGTATTCTCTGTTTCCAGACTCTGTGGTCACTCTGTAATGGTGAATTTAGAATCACACGGGATTGCTTGCTTTATTTGAGCAGGTAGGAAATCTGTTGCTCATATTAAAGCGATTTAGCATTTCTCTAGGCATCTGGTCCAGTGGCTGGTACTTCATAAAAATACTTCTAAGGTTATATTATTTAAATTTTTATTTAAACTTTATATCTGAAATTCTTATCTTCTCATGGTTTTAAAGTATTCAATTTTCAGCATAGAATTGGCCCCTTTTTAGAATTTTAGCGTTTCATTTATGAATGAAACATATTTAGAGAGAAAGAATATAGATTTATTTTTTAAAAAGAAAACTAGCAAGAAGCAGAAAGAAGTATAAACCAGAAATGAAGCCAGTACAATATTTGAGTGTGTTGATAGAGCCCCGGGGCCCACGCTGGCCCCAGCCCAGCGCCAGGCCTCTTGTGCAGGGTTGCTGTGGCAGACTGGCCCAGCCTCCTCCATACCTGAGGACTAGACATGGCTTTAGGATGCTGTTTCCCCTCTGGAATCAGACAGTGCCTTTCAAATTCAGAGTTCAATGGTATGAATGCTTCTTAGAGCAGTCTCTCTTAGTGCTTGAGCACCTTTTAGTTACATAACCACTGGAAATAGACTACTTTTTCTTTCAACATGGCGATAGTTGTTCCGGTGCCTAGACTGAAGTGGTTGTGCTCATTGTGGTCCTGTGTGAACAGGTCATTAGGTCCCGTCCCCTGGCTGTGGGAGTCTGGCTGTTAGCTGCTGCTGTGCTGGGGTTGTGGGCATTAAAGGTGCCACAGTCCAGTCCGGAGGGTGGGAGAAACACCATCTCGGGGTTTCCTTTATCATGTGAGGCTGAGGTTACCAGGATGGTGGGTTGAAACTTCATTTCAAAACCATCATTAACCATGTCTTTAGTCCTTCAGTTAATTGGTCTGTAATTGTGATAAGATGAAAAAAATCTAAACAAATTATTATAAGCTTTTTATAGTTGGAATTAAAAAACAGAATTATAAAATATGAATGCTTAAAAACAGATTATGTGCCTTGTACTCTGAAATATTGATTTTTAAATTTTGATTTTGCTCATAGTTCAGCAACCAGATCCAAATCAGCCCAAGCCTGAGGGAAGTCAGATGGCAGTGCTGCAAGGGGAGCCTCTGGCTGTGGGGGCTCCTTGGCCCCCATCACTGCTGGCTGCCTTGCAGCGGTGGGGCAGCACCCAGCCCAGAGCCCCCTGCCTGACTGCCCTGGACACGACCGGAAAGGCCGTCTGCACTCTCACCTACGGCAAGTATTGACAGAAACGATGTGCTTCTGGCTTAGCTGAGAAATGTGACATGGTATACAGTACAGACATGTAGCTCCGTAAGTACTGTAAACCAGATTCCTGAGAAACCAACACAACTGGCAGATAAACAGAATGTTACCTCACTCCGGGTGCCCCTGCCTCCCACCGGAGAGGACTGCTCACTGTCTCACGGTGACTGCCACTGCTTGGATGCTGAGCGTTTGAGTGTTTTGAATCTTCTGTAGATGCATTCTGAACGATGTAGTTTAGTTTTGTCTTATTTTGAACTCTGTATAAATGGAATCGTGCAATTATGTATTTTTTTGTGTTTGGCATCTTTTGGTTCCATATTGTTTTTATGGAACAGAAACTATAAGCATGTACACAGCTTGATGCATTTCACAGAGCAAATACACTCCTATAAGGAGCACTTAGAGCAAAAGTGTTGCCAGGTCCCCGTCCCCTCATCTCTTGCCCCTTCCAGCACTGACATCCTCTCACACACAAAGGGTAACCATTGTCCTGACTACTCACACCACTGGCTTTACCTGTTTTTAAATTTTATCTAAACAGGATTATATAAAAAGTGGTTTTTGTGTGTGTTTCTCTTCATTTACATGGAAGATGCTTCAACATGGAGATGCTTCCATTGTTGTATGAAGTTGTAGTTAGTTTATTCTCATCGATGGATATTGTTTTATTGTATAAATATTCCAGAACTTATTTATGTACTCTCCAGTAGATAGACATTAGGTTGCTTCCACTTCGGGGCTATTGTGTATAGTGCTGTCATGAACATTGCTGTGTGAGTCTCTTGGTGAGCTTACGTGGGCATTTGTGCTGGGTGTAAACCACAGTGTAATTGTTCTTCAGGACATGCTGCCAAGCAGCTTTCCCAAGGGGTCGCAGCGTTTTCACTCCCATAGGCAGAGTATAGAGAGTTCCAGTTGTTCGAATTCTCACCAGGTCTTGGTACTGTCTGTCTATTTCGTTTTAGTCTTTCTTGTAAGTATGTTGCAGTGTCAGGTTATGGTTCTGATTTGCATTTGCCTGATGACTGATGATGCTTTTCATATGCTTATTGGCTATTTGAATATCCTCTTTTATGAACTATTCAAATCTTTGCCTCATTTTTCTATTTGCTTGCTAATACTTTATTTCTTTATATATTTCAGATACACATCTTTTTCAGATACATGTTTTGCAAATATCTTCTCCCTGTTTGGATTGCCTTTTAACACTTTTCATTGTGGCTTTTGATGAATGAAAAGTCCTAATTTAATTTAGTCTAATTTATCTGTTTTTTTCCCTGTATTATGGTTAATTTTTTGTCCCGTTTAGAAACTCTTTGCCGACCTTAAGGTCAGAAAGATAGCCTCCAACATAATCTTCTAAAAACTTTATTGTTTTACTTTTCACATTTAGGTATTATGATCCATCTAACAGGGGTGGGGAATCTGCGGCTTCGAGGCCACATCTGGCCTCTAGATCCCCGAGTGCAACCCCTCGACTGAATCCAGACTTCGCAGAGCAAATCCCTTGTTCTGTAAAATTTGGATTCAGTCAAAAGGCTGCACTCAAGGATCCAGAAGGCCACTGGTGGCCTCAGGGCCGCAAGTTTCCCACCCCTGATAGAATTTAATTTTGTGTATGGTGTGGAGTTAGAGTCATTTTCTTTCCTTGTGAATATCTAATTGACTCAGTATCATTTACTGAAAAGGCAATCCTTTCCCCAAAGCACTACAGTGTTACTTTTTCGTATATCAGGTAAAAACATTCTTGTGGGCTCTGGGCTCCTGTTTCTCAGTCTGTTGTCTGTCCACTCTGAATTACCGTAGCTTCATGAGTCCTCTAGCTCTGTGATTGTTCCCGAAGATTGCCTTGACTGTTCTTGGCCCTTTGTATTTTCAAGTAAACTTGAGAATCAACTTATCAATTTCCATCAAAATTCCTACTGTGATATTGATTAGCATTGCATTGAATCTGTAGTTCAATTTGAAGAGAATTGATATTACAGGTTGAGCATCCCAAATCCAAAAATCCAAAATGCTCCAAAAACTGAAACTTCTTGAATACAGACATAATGCCCAAAGGAAATGCTCATTGGAGCTTTGGATTTCCGATTTTTGGATTTGGGATGCTCAACTAGTAAGTATATATAATGCAAATATTCCAAAATCCAAAAGAATTCAAAATTCCAAACACTTCTATTCCCAAGCATTTCAGATAAGGAATAATCAACCTATATTATAATTATGGAACCTTCCATTTTATGACTGTGGAATATTTTCCCCTTTTTAAAGGCCTGCCTTTATTTCTCTCAGTAATATTTTTATACTCTTTTTTTGTTTGTTTGTTTTTTAGAGATGGGGTCTTGCTGTGTTGCCCAGGGTTGTCTCGAACTCCTGGGCTCAAGCAGTTCTGAGTAGCTGGGATTACAGGTGTGAGCCACTGTGCCTGGCTGTATACTTATAATTTTGAGTACAGAAGTCTTGAGCATTTTTCATGAAATTTATTCTACTGTAAATGGTATAATTTTTTCTACAGATTTGTTACTTGTATATAGAAGTGCAACTGATTTTTAAAACAGTGACTTTGTATCCAGTGATCTTGCTAACATACTAATTGTTTGTTCATTAATTAGTAGTTTGTTCATATATCTTTTAGATTTCCTGTGTACAAAAATCATGTCATCTGTGACCAATGACAGTGTTATTTTGACCTTTCGAATGCTCACACCTTTATTCTTTCTCTTGCCTTTCTGCACAAGCTAGCACCTCCAGCACAGTGTTGACTAGAGCAGTGTTGAAGAGTGGGCGTTCTTGCCTCTTTCTCCATCTGAGGAAAAGCCTTTGGTAATTAGGTATGATGCTTTCTGTAGTTTTGTTTGCTTGTTTTTGGGTAGAAATTCTTTGTCAGATTAAGAAAGTTCCCTTCTGTTCCTTGTTCGCTAAAAGTTTTTATCATGGTTGGGATTGAATTTTGTCAAATGCTTTTTCTGCTCTAGCAAGATGATCATGTGGTTTTTCCTCTCCCCTCCCCCGTTAATGTGGTGAATTACATTGATTAATTTTCAAATGTTAAGCAGCCCTGCATTCGTAGAATAAATTCCACTTGGCTATGATAGCTTATCGTTAGCTATAATTCCTTAGTAAAGGAACTCATTGCCCACCTTCAAGGAATGTGGTTAGCTCACAGCCTCCACCTGTTAAATTCAGCTTTCAAGTCTAGGTCATGCTCTTGGTGGGGCAGCCCCTGGCTAGTGACTAAGCAAGGTGGTGGTGCAGGGGCCTGGTCATGCCTGCTCAGCAGCACTTTCCTTGTCAACAATCTTGGGCTTGCAGAGACTTTGTCAGATCCACATTGTGGTGTGACAGCTCCTGCACAATCCTGCTGCTCCCTTTTCCCTTCACAGGTTTTATTCTCTAGTAATCCTTCTGCGTGTCTAAGTCTGTCTCAGTGTCCGCTTCTTGAAGACCCAGCCCGTGACACACTTTCTTTTTTTGCATCCTCCTTGTCTTGTAGTTTAAGTCTGTGTTTATTTACACAGCGTAAGACATTCCTGCCACTGTTTTTTTAAAGTCAGTCATATGTTCTCACTCTTTGTTTCACTATTCTTTCCTTCCCGCAATCCCACATTTTCCTGTGTAATCATTTCCTTTTGGCCTGCAGAACTTCCTGTATGTTTGTTATATAGTAGGTTTGCTGGTGAAGAAGTCTCTCAGTACTTGTTTGACAACAATTTATTTCATCTTCATTTTTGAAGGTTATATGTGGTGGCCATTTATCCCCTTTCAGCTGTATAAAGATATCGTTATTGGCTTTTGAGAAGATACCAGACTATTGTTGTCCTTTAGACTGTACTATGTCTTTTTTTTTCTAGCTGCTTTTAAAAATGTTCTTTTTCTTTGGCTCACAGCTGTCTTTCTATGACATATTTAGATGTGATGTTCTTTGAAATTTTCCTGTGATGTTCTCCAAAATTTTCCAGAAGTCCACCGGGCTTCTTGAATCTGTAGGATGGTGTCTTTCACCAGTTTTAGAAAACTATAGCCATCATCTCTTGATATATTGCTTCTTCCCCAATTTTTTTCTTCTCTCCTTCTGGGACTCCAGTTACACTTACATTATACCTTTTCTCTGAGTCCCACATGCTTTTAATGTTCTCTCTTACATTTTGCATTCTTTTTTTATATATACTTCAGTTTGAATATTTTCCATTTTCCTTTATTCAAATTCCCTAATCCTGTCTTCTAAAATTTCTAGTCTACTGTGGAACTCCTGGTGAGTTCTCTTCTAATCACTATTCTAGTTCTCTGGGGAAAGTTCTTCATCATCCCGTGCATTTTCCTCACCTGTTGCTCTGTTGCCTTGAGTGCACTTAGTAATTATTGTGATTGAAAGTCTTTGTGAGGCAGCACCAGTATCTGGTCACCTTTGGGGCTGTTGCTCTTATCTGTGATTTCTCTTGGTTTGGGTCAGGGGAACTTCTCTCTGGGGACGCCTGGTATTTTTTGACTGAACGTTGTGTGTTGTGTATAAACACGTTATGGAGGGTCCAGACCATGCCGTCTTCCCTAGGAGAGTAGAGTGGAGGCTGGTTACTGCAGTCTGGGGGGCTGGCCCTGCCACCTCTGCTCTTCCTCTGGCTCTCCAGAGCTTTCCGCCCAGGGCCCGTGGTATCTGTGCATCCCTGTCCTCCGTGGGTTCCCAGCCTTGGTGTTGGTCTCCTGTGGCAGTTTCAGGACTCCACTCTGCTTTTCAGAGGTTTCCTAAAGGGTTTCCAGCCTCCTGCTGCATACAGCCTGAGCATTCAACACATGTCACGAGCAGAAGTGACTGTACTCTTGGGGCTCCCCGTCTCTGATGAAAGCTCTGTGGGCTCCTCCTGCGCCGACAGCACAGGGCCTCCCGTGGGGGCCAGAGCCCATGAACACCCGCAGTGTGAAAACACTGGTGCCAGGTCAGCTCAGCTCCCTGAGGGTTTTCCCCTTCTGTAGCCTAACTCCCCTGGTTGTCTTTGCTGCCTCCAGCAGATGGTTTGTGCGTTCTGTTTGTAAACTCATTTTAGGTGGGAGTGCCGATCTGTAGCAGCAGAGTCTCTTACTGTTATGCTTTTAAAATTCATTCATGTTAGTGGCCGTAGTTCATTCATTCATTGCTGTCGCAGAATGAATAGAGCAGGATTTCCTTATGCTTCATACCGTTGGTGGACATTTGGGTTGTTTCAGTCTGTGCTATTCGAAGCAAAGCTCCTAGGAAGACCTAACATAAGCTTTTGAAAGGTGAGTACTCAGGAGTGGAAGCTTGGTCTGGGGGTGTATCTTCCCGGTGACTAGGTAACGCCACACTTTTCCAATCTGCGCTCACCCCATCAGTGCTGCATCCCACCTGCTCCCATCGTTGTGAGAACTTGACGTTGTCAGGCTGGTTGATTTTAGCTGATTTCCAGCTCTGGAGGCCAGTCCTTTCCAGGGGCGTGCTGCAGCTGTCTTTCCCTGCCGTGTGGCTGGCTCTTCACTCTGCGATGGTAGCTTAGTGAACAGAAGCTGCATCCACTCTCACCTTCTTTGCTTTTATGGCTTGTGCATTTTGTGTTCCCTTTAGGACCCTTTGCCTAGGCGGAGATCATGAAGTTACTCTGTTAATTTGGGAAAGTGGTGGTGTTGCACCCTTTGCTGTCCACCTGGAATGCGTTTTGTGTATGGTGTGGGATGGTATAAAAAAGAATATCTTAGCTATTCTTGCCCTGTGTATTTCAGGGTTAGTTTTAGAATTAGCTTGTCAAGTGCCACAACGTACCTGTTTGGATTTTGGTCAGCATTGCTTTGAATCAGTGTGAGGAGAATTAACACCTTTGCACATTGAGCATTCCAGCCCACGGCTGTGATGTCTCCCTCCATCTATTAAAATCTTTTTACATTATCTCAGTAATGTTTTATGGTTTTCTGTGGGGAGACTTTGCCTATTTCTTGTGACAATTAGTCTTAGGTATTTGGTGTGTGTATTTTAGTCTTATTGTCAATAGTATCATCAAAAATTTTTACTTACTGTTTATTGCTAGAATGTAGACATCAAATGGTGTTTGTATATTGATTATTTGGCAGCCTTGCCAAATTCAGTTACAGAAGGTGCATAAGGTATACTCACGTCATCTGCAAATAATGCCAGTTCTGTGTCCATCCATTTTACCTCTTTTCGCCTTTTTTTGCACTGATTAGGACTTTTAGTAAAATGTTGAAAACAGATGTCCTTGGCTTACTTCTGTTCTCAGAGGGAAAGCGTTCAGTATCTGCGCATTAATTGTGCTGTCTTCTGCTGGGGTTTTAAAGACGCCCTTTGTCACACTAAGGAAGTGTGCTTCCTTTCATCAGAGCTTAAGAAGGATTTTAAAAAATCATTTATAATCATTTTAAAATCATGAATGATTGTTAAATTGCTTTAATTTTCTGCCATTTATTGAGATGATTTTTCACCTTTATTCTGTTAATGTGGCAAATTAGGTTGATTTTCTGTTAAACCTCTTTGCATTCATTCCCAGGATAAAACTGGCTTGGTCAGGAGGCGTTATTCTTTGTATACATAGCTGGATTCCGTTTGGGAATCTTTATGTATTACAATTATTATCATCTTGAATTAACCTTTTAGAAGAGGCTAAAACAATGTTTCGCATTGACATTTTTTTCTTGTTTATTTCTCAGGTCCCACAGTTCACTTATTTCACAGTGTTACGCCTGAGTTTTATGTTATTGCAGTGGCATTTGTGCATTCACGTGGAGGGCAGGGGTGCCCAGCCTTGTTGTGGTTGTGTCACAGGAGCTTGAGAGGGGCTGAGTGACGGTGTTGCGTCTCTGAGAGACTGTGTGGGGGATATTAAGGCTGCTTCAGGAGTTGGGGGGGACTCAGGTTTTCCAGTCCTCCTGTCCCGTTACACCCCTGTCTCTGTTACCTCCCCAGATATCCTCAGTCCTCTGGCCTTGTCCTCTGTCTCACCTCCTGCCTTCCTCGGCAAAGCTCTCCTTAGTTGCGCGCTCACCAGGGCTGTGCACCAGGAGGGGCGTGTGGCAGGAGGGACCTTACGGGGCAAAGGCCTGGTTCCTGGACCCTTGGCCCGGTGTGAGGTCCACATGCACTGCTCCAGCAGCTGAGGGCTCTCTAGAGTAAAGAACGGAGACGAAGATATGACCTACTCAGGAATCGTAAAGATTAAGTGAATTATGTGCCATTTTTATAAATGACATAATTGAGGGATATTTAATGTCATGAAAATGCATTCACAATGCAATGTTAATTGAAAATAGCTGGGTAAAGTATCTCATTTCTTGAAAATTACACATACATGTATATGTGTATGTGTATATGTGTATATGTACACACACATATATACATAGAATACTGGCTTTTTTCTTCTGGCTTTTCTATATTCTAAATTTTCTATAGTAAAATCCTGCTTTATTTTTGTATTAAGAAAAATAAATCTGTAAGTTATTTTTAAGAGAAAACTATGATGTTCATCACAGCATTGTGCAGAATAGTTATTAGTTGGAAATTACCTGAATTTCCGGTAATAGGGTAATGGTATGTTATGAGGCTTTATGATTACTACATTAAAATGTTAATTATTAATTTCTTAAATTTTACATTGCTTAGTAATTTTATTTTATTTTAGGCAAACTTTGGAGTCGGAGTTTAAAACTAGCTTATACTCTACTTAATAAACTGACTAGTAAGAATGAACCACTACTTAAACCTGGAGACAGAGTAAGTAACGAGAATGCGCTTTATTGAAGTGAGCAAAAACAGAGACTTTAAAAACCTGTTTCATTGAAAGCAGTGTTCTATCAGTTGTTTAGAATCAAGCCTTAATACAAGGCATTTAAAGTCCGCATGTAATACAAGGCATTAAAAAACATTAAATGTGGGGAAAGTTCGTGATACAGAGTAAAATGATTGTTCTTATTCTGTCACTGTCCACTGATTCTGCATCTTTTCTGTTTGACTTTACACATGTTGATATTAATAAATGTTAAATTTCCCAAACTTAGATTTTGTGAATTAACATTGGCCTGACTTTGAAAGTCTGTGTGCTTGATATTCATCTCCTTCCCTGTCCCATGTGTCCAGGCAGCTCCTCTTACCTGCCTGCCACGTAAAACACAAAAGGAACTGTAGGCTGATTCCCTTGTGCTACGTGGCCTAATAGGGTTGGCAGTAACCATGTGGGATAGGAAAGGAGATAAACTTAAATTAACCAAAATTAAATAAAATTAAAAATTTGGTTCTCATTCAAACGAGCCACATTTCAAGAGCTCAGGAGCCACATGTGGCTAGAAAATTTCCGTCGTCATAGAAAGTTCTGTTGGACAGTACTGCTGTGGGAAGGCTGAGCCAGACTGGAGGAGGGCAGGTATACTAGGAAGTCCAGGGTGGAAGACAGGAGAATGTGGTGAAAACCAGTGTACGTACCAGTGAAATCCCCTAGTGAAGAGGTTACCTGTGGCAGGTCACCAACATGGAAAGCCAGGGTCTGACAGCTGGCAGGCAGCTCCAAGGAGCTCTTGCAGTGCCTCCCCAGGAGCCAAGGACAGTTGAGAGGGAAGTGTCAATACGAAAGAAAACAACCAAAAGGCAAAAAAAAGAAAAGGGAAGACAGTGAGAATGGAGGGGGGAAGGAAGGAGGGGAGGAAAGAGGAAACAAACAAACCTTGAGGAAAGGTAGATACAGAAAACAAATTTTCTGAAAGTTACTGTTAATATCCCCAGAGATCTGAGGTGAGGATGTTCCATAGATCTTGAAAAGGATGCTGGTAAGAAAGACCGAGAGGTGCAAAGTAAGAGAAAAAATAAGACAAAAATTAAAGACTTGGTCAAGATGACCCAATGTCTGACTGAGGGCAGAAGTCCAGGAGGAGAAAGGACAGAAAGCAGAACGTGATAAGTAGCAGTGTCCTGGCCCAAGAGTGTACATACCCAGAGTGAGTGCGGCAGACCACACCAGAGCGTGCAGGGGGATCGCGCATGGCACTTGGGCCGTGGAGAAGAATCCCCAAGCCTTCAGGGCAATAAAAGTAGAATCAGCAATCACAGTGGCTTCGGGACTTATCAACAGTGAAACTGGAAGAGAGGGGAGAGTGATACTTCAAAACTTCAGAGGGACTATGATTTTTAACCTATAGTTCTATTGCCAAAGATTCAAGAAATGCGAGGGTGGCGTAACCATTTTCAGACGTGCAGGACTCAAAAAACTTCAGCTTGCAAGCACTCTTTCTTGGCAAGCCTCTAGAGCATGTGCTTCAGCCAAATGAGTGAACAGGGTCCAAGCAGGAGAGCCACAGCAGAGTCCGGGATGACCATGGGCAGCCTGCCAAGGGGCAGCCCAGATGGGACCAGGAGGCCCGAGGCCCCGGGGTGGGGTTGGGGGTTGGCAGCAGATGGGCTCACCTGATTGACTGGTTACTTGGAAAATATTATTGCTAGGTATTTGACACATCTGGTGGAAGATTTTAGGGCAGATTGGTTGGAACTACATAGAAAACAAAGCAAGTGAAAGTGACGGTAGCTGTCACCATCAGAAAAGAAAGGGAACATGTACTTGGCTATAAAAAGGTAAAAAGTATGAGAATGATAGTTTATGATACGTTGTGCTGATAGATGAGATTTTATGTTGTGCTTTAGAGTAAATCTAGGAATCACTGATTTATTTTTCTTGAAAAACATTCTTGCAAGGGCAAAGACTTCCAGATACTCCTTGATGTGCAAGAGAATCCATATAGTTAGGTTAATAGTAAAATGATCAAAAGGGTCATAGTGAGTGAATTAATTATCAGAGATTGGTGACAAATTCAACTTCCTATGATATTATACTTTATAAAAACACAACTGTTCATAACAAAGTCTCTAAAAATATATTTTCCATACCAAACATCTAGTCTCAAGGTTATAGGTTATAGTTCTGGGTCAACCACTATAAAAAACAACATTTGAAGGACAGCTTTGTCCTGAAAAGCTTTGAAAAATAGACATACTTGTTAGAAACTCAACTTCCAGACCTCAAGTACAAAATGAGCTATCTTAAATTTTGTCTTGAAAGGGTTATTGGTTATCCATCATTCTGTGTTCTCAAAGTCTCTGTGTTAACAGTCTACTCAGTTAAGTACTATTCTGACTTGTCACTTAGGATTTCAGGCAAAATTATTATAATATTTTATTCCATAAATAGCTTTTGATTTAACCAGTTATGGTAAGAAACGGAGACTGGCTGATGGGAGGAGGGAAGCAGGGCTGAAGATTCATCTCCAGTAACAGGAAGTAAAGTAGAGGCCTAAAAATTTTAAAAACAAAATATAGCAATGGAAAAGTAATACTTTAAAAATATGAGAGTAAATAACAAAAGAAGGCTCTAAAATGTTTTAAAAATGGTTGCTTCAGGGAGTGGGGAAGGATGGAGCATGGGGCTATTGCTTTTCATTAGTACTTCTGTCATTTTAAATCTGTTTTTTAAAATTTTGATAATTAAAATATAAGATAAATAAAGCAGAACTTATAATTTAAAGAGCAGCAGCATGGTGACCAGGTAGGACCAGGGAGCAGCACCCCCATGGGGACATAGCGGAGGCTCTGGGTGTCTCTGTGGAGGTCTTCTCCAGCCACCACACTTCCCTGCTGCAGTCTTGAGTGAAGATCTGTCCAGTTAAAACTTTGGTGTTAGGATTTTTTCTTTTGGAAACTATTATTTTAGATATAATTCGATTCCTGTTCACTTTCTATGTTGGTAAAGGTATTTTTCACCTGGACTAATTGAAGGCAGGTGATACCAGTGTGGATGGGAACCGGGTCGAGAACCCACAGCCAGACACAGGCTGGATGGCCTCTAAACCCAGAAGTTTAAAATTATTTTGTTGCATATGGAGTAAAGACTTCAACCTAAAAATTATTTGTTAAAAATTACATGAATAAGGAAATTTAAGGACCAAGAATTAATTCCAAAATTAGATTTTCTGAACTAAATTTGGAAAGCTATAAGAAAATCTACAATGTCTGAGTGAGAGATTCTGAATATTGAAAAGACTCAACCATTCCCGAGTAGATTTCATGTTTTTCTTTGTACCGTTGTAGGTGGCGCTTGTGTTCCCAAATAGTGACCCTGTGATGTTCATGGTTGCGTTTTATGGGTGTCTCCTGGCAGAGCTGGTTCCTGTCCCCATAGAAGTGCCGTTGACAAGAAAGGTAGCAAACTGGGGGCCACGCCCCACACAAGCACTGTTGCAGCCAGTGGTGTCTGGCTTCCCCGTCACCGTAGCTTCATGCTAGGTTGTGGGCCAACAGCAAGGTGCTGTTTTGACAGAGGAGAGGAAGATGATGGCTGGCAGGCAAGCAGGCCAGGACTGAAGAGAGCAATCAGATGCCATTTTGTCTGCAGACGCTCTCTCGTGCTGTTGGGGGGAGGGCACTTGGAACAGCTTTGCTGCGGTGAGACCACGATGCACCTTGTTAGGTGGAGCTGTTCTGGCACCTGTTTGAATTTCCCAAAGAAATGATAGGCGTTTTTTCCTCTAATGAATAGAATTAGTGTTCAATAAGATTTTATTAAACTCTTCCTCAAAGCCATATGTTTATTGATAATAATTTTCATTTCTTAGAGGTAAATTTATCATTACAGTGATAGAGCTCACTGTTTTAAATAAACAGATGGAAATTCTCTTGTGTTTCTGTTCACTTACATGACAGAAGGCAGTTTTTGTTATTGACAAATTATTAATGTGGGGGACTTACTGATGTTCTAGGTAGCTATAACATTTTAGATCTAAAATAAATATAAGTAATGAGATTATTGAGAAGATACCATTTAGGTATAGACTAGGCATGTGTTTACAAAGTTAAAGTTTTCTGTCATCCTCTCCCAGTGTTCAGGCAGTTGTTAATGCGAACAGTATCCACAGATACGCAGACAAAACCAGTATATCTCAAAGGATGAGCAGGCGTTTGGATTCAGTGATATTTAGGGAAAAAAACCCTGGAGATTTGTCAAACTCATATGAAGAAAATGACAAAACTTTGCTGAGTGACATATACAACTGAAGATTTGGCCAGAAGAAAGCACGTATTTCTGTGTAGAAATGATTAATATTGTTAAAGGTCAGGCCTCCAAGATTCGTTTGTAAATTTTACATGTGATTCAATAGAAATCTCAGTGCTATTATTAAAATGCTTCTAAATGTCATTTGCAAGAATAAACTTTGAGAAATTAGCCTATTATCCAGAACTTTATATTTCACCAAAAATGTTTTTCAAATTTAAAAATGATTGTTATGTTTTTGTGAGCTACTTCTATGAATATCTCATATATACCAATAATAGTACTGAAATTTTTCTAGAAGTTTTATGATGGTAGATAAAAAAGAGCTCTGTTCTCTGCATAGCCTGGAGCCCTGAGGGCCTGGGGCTGCAGCTCCTGTGAATACCTGTTCCCACCTGTCGCTCTGTCTTCCGCAGGACGCAGGCAGCCAGCAGGTTGGGTTTCTCCTGGGCAGCTGTGGAGTCACCCTGGCCCTGACCACAGACGCTTGTCAGAAAGGCCTGCCCAAGGCACAGACAGGAGAGGTGGCAACTTTCAAAGGTGAGGCCTCCCAAGGAAAGGGCGCCAGTGTTCTGATACGCTCTTGGTTGGACCGTGCCCCAGGGGTGCTGTTCCAGACAGTCAATGGTAGAGAGGCTGCAGGGTCTTCACCAGAAGTGCTACCTTGTTCAAGGCCTCCCTGAATCTTGATTCTCATCGGGTTGGGTGGCTTGACCTGTGTGTGCCGTCTATTATGGTAGCTGCTGATCAGATGTACCTTTTTACATTAAATAAAATGAAATGAGACTAAAATTTGAGCTCCTTAGACCTCAATAGCTAGTTGCGTGTTGGAGGCGCAGGCTCTGTGTGTGGGGAGCTGAGACCCTCTGACGCTATAGTGCTGTCCTGTCTGCCTGGTCACAGGTTGGCCACCCCTGTCCTGGCTGGTGATTGATGGGAAGCATCTGGCCAAGCCCCCCAAGGACTGGCACCCTCTAGCCCAAGACACAGGGGCCGGAACCGCCTACATTGAGGTAATGACCATCCCTAACTCAGAGCACGAGAAAATACACCCCACCAGTTTAGGTCTTGTTTTTTGTGAGCGTATAAGCTGCTTTTTTTTTTTAAATTTCAGGCTGAGTTCTCATTGTTTCATCTCTGCCCCAGAAATATAAAGTATCATATAGAACCCTACTCAGATCCTTTCAGATTTCACTCTTACCTAATTCTTCCCTAACTGGCCCCATTGGGTGCAAACAGTTGGGTGGAGCCGTGGTACACCGTTGTGCCACTGTTGCCCTTGGGCCCCTGCTGGGTGAGCCACAGCTTCATCTTCATCTGAAGTATCCTCTCGTGGGCCAGGGCGTAGGGTTAGTGAAGGGGAGACACCAACCACTTCCTTTATTTTTTTTTATTAAAGATGGGGTCTTGCTATGTTGCCCGGGCTGGCCTCGAACTCCTGGGCTCAAGCGATCCTCCTGCCTCAGCCTCTCAAGTAGCTGGGACTACAGGCGTGCCCCACCATGCCTGGCTGTGCTGCTGCTTTTTAAGTTTCTGTCAGCCTCCATTCTATCTGCCGTGGACTCTAGAAATAACCACAAGATGTTTTTTTCTTTGAAACCCTTCAGTATAAAACCAGCAAAGAAGGCAGCACAGTGGGAGTCACGGTGTCCCATGCGTCCCTACTGGCACAGTGCCGGGCTCTGACCCAGGCGTGCGGGTACTCGGAAGGTAAGGGCTCTTGGGGCAGGGGCAGTGGTCCTTCCAGCCTTGCACAGGTACCTGACATACCTGATCATACAGCTGTCACTACACCTGTCAAAACCACCCCTGGGTAGTGCCTTTGCCCTCTAATCCAGGTCAGACAAGGTAAGGCCATGCTGCCGTCCTCGGCTTGCTCCTGGGGTCTCTGTGGTTGTGCTAGACTCGTGGGCATGAGGTATCTCTCAGCAGACCCTAGGCAGCCCACACGGTTGTCGGCAGTAAACTCACGTGCATGCGATTTCGTGGAGCATGGAAGCAGTGCGCCCCAGCTCACCCGCGCACAGTGCCAGGTCCACAGGTTGGCCCAGTGGGCTGGCTCAATCTGTGATGTGCTGAGGGGCAGGGCATTTTGTGTTTAAAAAAAGTAGAAAACACCCTTATTTTTCTGTTACTGTTTTCTATGACTAGTTTTGACTTAAGCTGTCATGCATGTAAATATATAAGTGGAATGTTTATGATCATAGATTATCTCTTGGTATAATAAA